AATGTTCTGCTGCTGCTAAAGCACCCCCCCCCTCAGGAATGTCCCTAACGAGAGTTATAACCACCAAGGTGGTGAAGTAGAGACGCCCAGGCACTGGGAAATTAGGGAGGACACAGAAAGAGACTCAACAAATGGGAAGATAAGCTCTGACCAGCGTTTTATGCTGACCCTCTGCACAAACAGAGAAGGTCACAACCAAGTTACCATTTGGGGACGAAAGAGAAAATGTAAAGAACTTGGGCAGGGAGAAGGACACATAGGTGCCAGTGCGGAATTGGTTAAAATTTCTGTCATTTAGGGGTGTGGGATATTGTGATAGGTTCAGTACATGTGAAGGAGGGAGTTTGTTTTACCTATAGAATGTAAATGAAAAACTATGCTCTTTGGGAATCAACTCCGGACTGCAGGGGAACATCAAACTGCAAAACATCCGACCCCCTGCATGACTGTGATGTGTGTGGGTGCTGGGAACCCCCAGATGAGAGGATCCCGACTGGCCATTGGGTGAAATGTGTCTGGATGTTGGGAGTGGTGAGCATAAGGGATTTGCTTGGAATATGTATTCTGTGTGTGTTTCTAATAAACAGATGTTTAGAGCACAACTGTGTAAAACTTTCGCTGGGAAAAGGTTCTGCAGACCCGTACAGCCCCGAGCCCTGAGGGGAAGGGCGGGTACTTAAATTGACCCGGTTTCTTCCTGAGCCCCGTGGGTACGGATAGGTTTGCCAGAGGCTGGGATGGGTGACAGGATGGATCACTGGATGATTCCCTGGTCTGTTCATTCCCTCTGGGGCACCTGGCATTGGCCACTGTCGGCAGACAGGACACTGGGCTAGATGGAGCTTTGGTCTCACCCAGTCTGGCTCTTCTTATGCTCTTATGTGTCTTACACCCCGAGCCCTCAGTAGGGAAAGGGTGAGGGTGCCTTAAATTGACTGGGTCACACCTTGAGCCCTAGGTAGGGTATAGGTGGGGTGCCGTAAATTGACCGGGTAACACAATGACTCTGGGACAGTCTCTGCTGTTGCACTATTCTGGAGTGGCTATTGCAGAATATTTATTCCAGAATAGCTAGGCCGGTCTATTCCTCCCACGTACATAAGATGAGCCTCCCCACAATTCTCCCCTAGAAGAGGGCCTGGGTAGCACCTGTCCCAGCCGATCTGAGGCTGACGCCCAAGAGAACCTTACAGTCCATGCCTCTGGTTATGTCTACACTGCAATGTAAGCCCAGAGTTAGTAGGAATGGAGTTAGCAGCCCCTGGGGTTGCTAACCTAGCGCTGGAGCATCTACACACATTTGTAACCCCAGGTTAGGAAAGGTTGAACCCTGGGTTCCAGCTCAGAGCTCCAGCATCTACACTGCATTATGCAGGCCTGAGTGCAACCGCCTGTATCCCAGACTTCCTAGCGCCTGCCCCAGCTGCGGCTGCCCTTTTCCCCTTCGGTGGTGGTGCAGCCTGGGAAAACTGAACTGTCCAGAAAACTTGACTGGCCAGAGGAGAAAGAAAGTCAGCCCTGTGGGATTGTGGGATACTTTGGGCAGCCTCCAAGAGCACAAGTCCAGCAGGGCTAAGGCTATGCTGCAAAGCGACAGGACTTGAACCCTGGCTCCCAGCTTGACTCAGGCTCGGGCCCTCGATCCCCGGGCGGTCCTGGGACCCTGAATTCAGGATCACAATAGTGGCTTTAAAGCCACATCTTGCCACATGTGCCTCCCATGATGCTCTACAGCCATGATGCCTGGCTTCCCCTCACCAAAATAAGATACTGTGGTGCATTGTGGGAAATGTAGTTTGAGTGCCTCATTCTCCTCTATATGCCCAGCTCCATGGTCGGACTAGAATAGGATTACCATTCGTCCGGATTTACCCGGACATGTCCTCCTTTTTGTACTAAAAATAGCGTCCGGGGGGAATTTGTAAAGCACTCACAATGTCCGGGATTTCCCCCTCCCCGGGCAGAGCAGAGCGAGCGGCTGGGAGGGCTGCAGGAAAGTCCTGGGCTGGACTCCGGAGCAGCTTCCTCCTCCCACCCCCCCCTCCCTGCATTCTGAG